GGCTACTCGAGAGCTCGGACAGCCGACGTTGAGGTTGACTTCATCATAGCCCCGACGATGTGCAATCCGGGCAGCTGCTGCCAACTTGCTGGGGTCATGGCCCCCAAGTTGGCACACTATAGGATGCTCCGCCTCAGTGAAGCCTATGACCTTCTCAAGCTGTCGGGGGATATCCTCGTTATGGACCAAGGCCTGGTCTACCAGCATCTCTGTCCACACCTCGCATTTGCTGCTTAGGAGCCGCATGAACTGACAGCAACGACGGCAATCACCAATGCGGAATCAACACTGCCGTTAGTACCATACGGAAATCCCGATCGGACACATCCACCATTGGGGCGATGGACAGCCGCACTGGCCCTCCCTTTCGGTCGCTGAAGGTTGCACAATCTAGGGTTATCACACTGACGAGAATGGAGCTCACTTGTGAGAGGCCAGCGAGAATCCAAGGTCGGTCGAGCTGCCGACACTAGAGCTGGACTCACTTGTCGTTGAACTCGACAGTTGTGTAACCATGAGGGCCTCGAGCTGATCACATATTGCCTTCTCCACACCAGCCCCCCACTGGGAACACAATACTCCTGTTTGGCTCATAATACGAATACTACACAAAAGTGAGGACATCGTCATCTTGTTAATCAGTCGACTCTTCAGCGGCAGACGCTGTAGGAGTAGCCTTACTCATACCAGCCAGACGACGATCCACCGGGGCCGGCTCCTCTGGTGCTGCTGCCGCTTCCTTGGTCTCAACCTTCTCACTATCACCATGGAGCATCGCATCGGTAAGTCCATACTGTCTCTTGAGGTTATCAACATAGTCTTTCATCTCCTTCCGCTTCTCCTTAGGAGCATCCGCTATAGCCTTATCACACTGACTGATATAGTCCTTCCATTGCTTCAATGTGGCGGGGTCCATTGCTGGCTGCTGCGTGGCAGCAGACGTAGAGACATTCCCGCCACCGCTGCCACCGGCACCACCAGCAGCAGCAGAGGCCGATGGGATCCGTCCAGCGGCCATCTCAGCCATAACCTGTTGATAAGCCGCCTGAGCAATAGCCTGCTCGGTGGGCCATCGGAGGTACTGGGCGTTGGCCCAAGCTTGTTGCTGCACATTGGAAAACTGCTGTGCTTGGGCGTTGAAGTAAGCCCTAGGAA